TAAAAGGGTTAAGTATGTTAAAAATGATTTTAATAATTCTAGTAACAATAACATAAGATCTGGCAAAAAGAAATTTCCAGTTACTAGATATCTATATTTATGTTTGAAATAATAACTAAAAATTTAATAGAAGCTTAATTAATTCTTAAATTTTGAAAAAGTTAGATCTAGTTTATAACTTCCACATGAATAAAAAAAATTAAATAATCACAGGTAAAATAAGTTTATATCTTTCATTAGACACATACCAACAAAGATTTTCCTACTTCTTATAAATTTATAAACAATAAATAAAGATAATGGATACATATGTCCTTGAGCAAAATAATCACCACAGCTCTTCAAGATACTACCTCACATAAGTCAAGAAATATCAATAATACACTACTGCAATTCACTTTTGGTTGATAGTTAAAATAAAAATTTGACTATTTGTATTATAATGTATATATTCTGCAAAAATATAACTAAAATAATTTCTTGGAATGCTGTGGAATTATTGTATGAAGCACATTATTTTGTGAATAGAGAGTATAAATGGTGGAAGACAACATGCATCATACATAAAGTTTTAAAAAAAACACTTATGTCCAGATTTTTTAGAAAATACTCACCACAGAGATTGCAAAATAAATCAAAAGCTTTTTCTTTTGAAGCGTGACGAGAAAACCTTTGCAAATTAGGTATAACATACATATCTATTATATGCATTTTTATCCAATCCCATGGCATATGGGCAACCAAAATTAGAAATGGAGAAGTCAATCTCCATAATTCCTCAAAAGTATCTAAAAATATCATAGAAATGTGCTAGATATAAAATTAATATTTTATACATAAAAACTTATTCAAAAAATCTTCATAAAGCAGCTTTAAAAGCTGCTTTATGAAGATTTACATTATAAAGCAATTTATATTATGAAGATTTATACCATGAAGCAAAAGCTATCAATTTATTTGCCAATTATTACATCTCCTTGAAAGTAATCTCCTCCTACTGCAATACACTTCTGCTAACATTTATAACAATCATCAAAGTCATTTTCATGAAAGCCCTTCAGGGTTCCTAGCGAATTTTCTTTTATTGCATAAATAGATTCCAAACGGTAGCCACAAAGGGACAGTTCAACTGTGGAAATAAGAAAAAGTCACACAGGCCATATGCAATGAATATAGAGCCTGTGGAGCTGTATTTGTTGACACTTTTGTCAAAAACTCACAAATAATCATGGCAATGAGAGGAAGCACATTAACATGATGCAAAACAGTGGAGTTATCTCACCACATTTCAGATCATTTTCAATAAAGGAACTTATTTGGTAATGTCTCTAATTATTAGACAGTGATAACTGAGCACCAATTTTCTGATCTCATCGACATGTTGATGATTAGACAATGTGGATGGTCTACCACAGCATGATTCATCTGCAACAGATTACCTGCCTCTTAAAACATTTTATATCACTCGAAAACTTTTATTTTTGATAAGTGGTTGTCTTTAAATGCTTTTTGCAACATTTCAAATATTTTTGTAGCAGAAATTGCATTGCAGAAATAAAATTTAATGCAAGTTTCTTTGCACAAATATTTTCTCATTATTTACTCAATTATTATAACCCTTTTTAAAATTGCCAAAGTTAGTTCTTATATCATTAAAAATGGATTTATTTTCAGAAAATAATCTGAAATTAAATATTAAATGTTGCCAGTTGTTAATATAAGTCATAAAAATATTCGATAAAAGTTTGTGAATGTTTTCTAGCATATATGTATTTTAAATGAAGCATTCCTGTTACTTTTTTTATATCAAAGTAGTATATCATCTCATGTGACAACATAATCATTATGAAAATAAAATTTTGTCTTATGCAACATGAATAACAATGGCAGCTCTCACAGAACAATGCTTCAGCAAACTTTAAAAAATCATTCAAAAATCAGGAAAGATACACAGCAATTTCAAATTACATTATTTAAAAAGGGGATTTTCTGGGTTTTTCAATGATATAAAAATTATAGTTCTCCAATGAGAATATATGTAGGAAATTTTCAAAAATATGAACCCGAATATGCCCCTTCACATTAAATAAAAATTCAAATTTTAAAATAATTTTTATGATGTTAGCTCTCACTTGTGCCAATCTATCACTGTGCCATTTTTGGTGCTGATATGTCAAATGGATTAGACATTCATAGCAAAGATAAAAATGAAATACACACACACACAAGCTCTTTTATATATAATGAATATGTATTAAAAACTGCAAACAAAGTAACTAAACTTAATTTAAAATCTGACTTATTATAATTTATTTTATTATGATGTTACATTGTTTATTTTTTCAGTAATAGTTTCATTCATAAATTTTTTTTAATTAAGAAATTAAGTTTTATTGTTTAAAATACCAGTTGCAATACCATAAAAATGGACCCAAGAAATAATGAGCCCAAATAATTTTATTTTCAAAATAAATCTGGAACAATAAAAAGTGAATGATTATATAAATAAATAATGTGAGAGCTATTGGGAAATGCCTTTTTAAAATTCCATCCACTAATAATAAAATTTTATTCCATTTATGAAATGATATGATCGTTCAAAAAATTTCAATGCCCTTTTTGTTGTTTTTGAATAAGCCCTTACAGGAAGGAAATCCAAAAGACTGTCTAAGAAATGGAAACAAATTATTAAAACAAAACATGAAAAGCAACAGAAAGCATGTGAAGTTATGAGGAACAAGATAAAATCAATTTAAGCAAAATTTTTTAAAAATCTATAAAAAAAGTAGCATACATACTTTCCAGACATTTTATAAGAATTCTGTTCTTAAGAAATTCTATGGCTTTATTTGCATCTGGAACACTTGGAACTAATCCTGTTAACAACTCAAAGCTGAAATTCCAGTTAGATTTAGATACTCTTTGAGGCTTTTTCTGAGCTCCAAATGAAATGGATCTAAGAAGCAGTATCTCTTCCTCTGAAATGAACACAATTGTTCTCAAAATGAATAAAGAAAAAAAAAAACTATAATGTATTAAAATCAGCAATGCTCAACTGTGTATTTAAAACAATTGGCAAAACCAAACAACCAATCCCTCACCCCAACCACATGATCAATTTCGACAATTTTTATTTTACATAAAAGTTAATGAGCTCTAGATATGTCATCAATGGTCGCCTGCTCCCACCACTCTCCATTTTTGAGAGAAATCGAAAAAACACTACTTAACTATATACATTCTCTATTGGGAAAAATATTGACAGAGTCCCCCATCCCCAACCACTGGACCAATTTTGTCAATTTTTTTTTGCACTGATTTATTTTGCCACTTTGCAAACATAGCTAACAAGTCAGAATGCTCCATGTTTATCGTGCAAGTTTAAAATAGTATTTTTGATCTTATGCACCTCAAACAACATGGTGTCTCAAGATATCTACATCCTCATCAACTACAAATAGATATTGTAAAATATCTATTGTAGATAATGAAAACTTTATTTAGAGCGATATCATACTGCATTTATAGTTCTGAAAACTTTTATATAGAAAATCGTAACAAACTTGTGCAAAATAAAAGAACCAGAATGGGGTTTTGCACTTTATAGCTAAATCCACTAATCTAGCAGTATTTAAAACTGAGAAAAAGAAGTAGTTTTGAACTGCAAAGTGACAAGGCCAGTGCGAAGCAAGATGGGTGCTGTTAATATATGTTACATCAAAGCCCTTAAATTGTTTTTTGTTTGTAACCCCTTTCTGACTGGGAGAAAAATGTGACCTAAAGTGCATACAAATTTGGAAAAATAAAATGGACCCATGAAACATTAATTAGTGATAAATTTGATTAAATATTTGATGTTTCTAAAATCTTAATGAAATATTTAATATCAATATGGCTTTATGATAATATTTGTTTGTTAATATTAAAATATATGAAATAAAGCAGAAGCATGATGTAACGGTGTTATGAAAAGTAACACAATATTGACGGAATTATTACAAACTTATTAAAAATTTATAAAAAAAGAACAAAATTAACATAATAAAATTAAGCTTTATTGTTATTACTTGTTTAATAATCCAAAAGCATTGCTTTTTATTTGTTTAATTATTCAGAAAGCAATACTTTCTGAAATGTTTCATATATTTGATGATTTTACAGGAACAAAGGTAGAATAAATAGATCTACAAACATGGGTTTGTTTGTCCCCCCCAGTTAGGAAAAGCAAACCCAACCATACTGTAAGATTCACAATAATTTATTTTAACATTTTATATTAACAAGCAACATATAAATGCTAATCTTTTGTGTGTGTATGTATACAAGGGTTATCCAGAAAGCAAAATTGCTATAGCAATTAGATAGACCATGCAGATAGTAGATCATGTACTATGAGAAGCTATTACGTCTCCTAAAAAATTCAGGGGTGTGGCTATAATATGCAACAACTGACACTTTAGAGGTGTTCAAATTATTGCAGATGAAAATGCAGTTTCTTATTCTTTATCCAACAGATGGCCAGAATATGTCCACATGAAAGTTTGTGAATTTTGGCCAAATATCATGAGCAAGAAGTTTGATGCATTTAATTTGCTGAAAACCATCAAATAGTCCATAGTGATGAGCACAGTGTGCAGTTATCCCTTATTAATGACAATCATATGAAGTTGGTGCAGCATGCAATATAGAGAACTGTCACTTAAGAGAATTACAGAACTCACCACCCATTTCCTCTAGATATCCCATACCCTGTTACCCTAAAATGTCACAAAGCACCTGTTATTCTGGAAATTGTTTGCTATTTGGGTACCAAACAACCCCAATATTTGAATACACACGGGTCATCCACTGGTTCTTATCTCAGGTGGCAGGCTTCTATCATACAGGAATACAAAAAGTGATCCCAAAGTATGAAAAGTGCATTGATTTTCAAATGGATACCCACGCTGACCCGGACTTACCCAAGATAGGGTGTAAAGTCAATAAAAGGTAAAGATGCCAACAGTACACAGTGTTCCCAAATAGTCACCCTTCCAAGTACTGACCATGCTCGATGCTGATTAACTGCGGTAATCAGAAGAGAACCAGTGATATCAGATTAGCATGACTGTTGGTTGGACGACAAATAATACCACAATATGACAATTGCCTTGATTTTCCAATGGTGAATCTGAAGAAAGAAATCTAAATGATTGCTGTATTTGTTACAATAAGTGTTTCTATAGAATTGTGTTTTTGTTCTGCTTATGGTCGTAGAGAAACTTTCTTACTGGATAAGTCTCATATATAAATATACATAAAATATGTCAATATGTAAAAATTGATTACCTGACATGCTGTCTGACATCATAAACAGTTCTTTCCAAACTGCAACAATTGATGCAATCAGGTAGGGTCCAAAAGGATGTTTTACTTTCAATATGTTACAACATAAAGAAAGAGCTTCTGCTCCATCATCACTTCGTTTGCAAATTTCTGCCAGAACTCTGCATAAGGATGCAAGGCCATAAATATGAAATTTTACCTTTGTCAGAACTAACTGATGCAATATATGCAAAACAGTCTTTGTCAAGCACTGCATATGCAGATTTGAATCATTCTGAATACAGAATAATGCCTCAACAATACAACTTTCTGCAGAAGTTAAGAAACAATACGCTGAATTATTTTTAGATGAATTGATAAGATAATTTTCTCTGGTAAGGTGTAGAAAATTTACAACATGATAGATTAAATTTGCCATATCAGGTGTGTGCAGTGGGTTAGTTAAAAAGATGGTTAATGAGTGTATATATTGCTTAAATTGCTCATCAGTGATATGTATAGATTCAATACCATGAAGAACATCACTCACAGGACTTGAAATTGTAGGATTAATCTCTTCATTAGACTCTAATTTCTCCATTTTCAGTTTTGGGGATAAGTCAGAATTAAAACGCTTTTTTCTCTTGTTTTTTAATTTTCTCTTGGTTTTATTCACAGACAAACTCTTGTTCTCATTTTTTAATTTATTCTCAATTTTATTGACAGATAATTTTTTGCTCTCATTTTTTAACTTACTCTTAGTTTTATTGACAGACAACTTTTTGCTCTTATTTTTTAATTTACTCTTAGTTTCATTGACAGATTGCCTTTTGCTCTCATATTTTAATTTACTCTCAGTTTTATTGGTAGACAGCTGTTTATCAATAAATTCTTTAATGTGATCAATTTTATACTTTGTAGAATTTTGTTTATGAAGGAAGTCAAAGAAAACAGTAGTAGCAGTAATTTTTTTACACTGTTGTAAATGTTCTGGAGTTGGTTTTACTCTAGAAACTTGAAAGTCCGTCTGTGAAGGAATTGGCTGTTCTAATGAATTCGAAGATATTTGACTTGCACTACGAGACACATTTGAAAAAATATTCTTCATAAAATCTTCTGAAGAGATGTGATTAATTTTGGCAACGGAATCACTAAATGCTTTTTTACGACAGCTAAAATCTTCATTACAACCACCACTATTTAAACTATCGTTATCAAGTAAAGTTTCCACACTCTCTTCATTTTTTAAGTTACACTCGGTTTTATTAAAAGGCACCTGTTTGTCAATAATTTCTTTAGAGTGAACAATCCCATGCTTTGCAGAGGTATGTTTCTGAAGAAAGTCGAAGAAGATTTTAGAACTGGTACTTGGTTTACGATGTTTTGGAGTTGGTTTGGTGGCTAACTGATTTTCTTCCTGTGAAGAAATAGGCTGCTCTAATAAATTTGACGATGCTTCACTTACATTAGAAAAGATATGAACCTCACTTGAAGCCTTTTTCTTGCATTGTTTGCGGATTTTGGGAGGTTTTACACTTGTGTAATTTTCTATATTTTCTTCATGAGTAGGAGGCATCAAAGAGAACTCTACTTCTTTATTTAGAAGACTGCTTGAATCTCTACCATTATTTATATGCTTATTGCAAGACATTTTGACAAATGCCTTACTTTTTGAAGTTCTTCCTCTTAATCGAACAGGAGCAACCCATGTCATTCCACTATCAAGTGGTTTTATTTTCTTTTTCAATGAATTCTTTTCTATAACAGAGGAGCATTTTTTCTGAAATTCTGGAGTGAGACATGTAGGAATATGCATTTCAGTTTGGATCTTTTTTCGTTCACTAGGCAATGAATCTTGATTTAATATTGATGATTTCTTCCACTTGGTAGGCACAGAAGGTCCAGGTAAAAGTAAAGTACTTCTTTTCTTAAATAAAGGTTTACTATCAATGAAGTCTCTACACCATTTCGTTAGAGAAGTCTTTTCAGAAAAATTACAATCAGAAGATTTAGATCTTTTTCTTTTCATTGAACATTTTTGATGATCACTTTTTATAGGAAGTTCCACAAACTCTGAAGATAAATCATCATGAAATGTTTCTGTATCTGATGAATTCTGAAAAGCTGTCACAGCCAAAGAACAATTTTCAGATCTGGAAGCTGTAACTGAATTTTGATTGAAATTATTTAAAGGCAGTTCCACAGAGTCAGTAGATAAAACCTCATGATGTATTTCTGCACCAGATGAATTTTGAGAAACAGGAACAGGCAACTTCTTGTTCACTAGTTTTATTCTATCAACTGTACAATTAGCATCTGATGATGGAGCATAACTTTTTAATAAAGAGCAATTTTGAGGCTTAAAAGATTTTAAAAATTTTTTATTAAGATGATTTATTGTGAGTTCCACAGGGATAGCAGATAAATCCTTGTGGCCTATTTCTGCATCTGATGAATTTTGAGAAAGTGGCACATCCAATTTCTTGTCCACTGATTTTATTATATCAGAAGTATCATTATCATCAAACAATGGAGCATAACTTTTTATAGAAGGCAAACTTTGAGACTTAAAAGAATTTTCAACAATATTAAAACAAGATATCAATTTGTCACTTTCATTTGGCAGAGCCAAAGTTTTTCCCTTTAATAAATTAGATGATTTGTCAGGCAAAATTTCATGGATAATAGAAGAATTTGATTCATTTCTTAGATCAGTTGGAATGGCAGATGTATTAATTCCTATTTCATTAGCCTCATGATGAATACTATTACAATTAACATTTGTTTCATGATCTATATCCATAAATGTAGTAGTATCACTGTCATTCATAACCGACTCGGATGTTTTCTCTCGCTTACTTGAAGTAACTAAATCAGATATATTGGTCATTAAACAGCTAAAAGTTGTTTGTTTATTCTCAGTTGCTTGAAACATAGACTCTCTTCTTATGGAAAGGAAATAATTTGAAATGTCATTTCTAGAAAGTGACACATAGCATTCTCGTAAGTTTCCAGATAAAATCTTATTTGAAATTTCTTTTTCCCTCTCTGAGGGTGTCATTATGTTTGAAAGACATATATCTTCTGAAATATTTTCAAGCCTTTTTGATGATTCATGATAATTTTCACATTCTGTCAGACAGAAACTTTCAGCTAAACATAAAGAATCAATAGTATTCAATGAAGAATTTTTCATTACAGTATTTGATGGTGCAACCACAGATTGGGAAGAAACAAATGGAACTGCAGCTTTTATCTTTGGCAAATTAGATGGTTTTTCAAGTAAATCACAAACAGAATTTGTTTCATTTTCAAAAAATATTTCTGAATCTGATGTATAGTTAATTTTTCCAATTTTGTGTTGCATATTATCAGCACACTTCATTTGTGCAGATAACATACGATCATCATGTGAAACAGAATTATTATCTATCTTTCCAAATAAGCTTACAGAGTTAGGATTTCTAAATACTGAATTAGTTAAATGATTGTTATAATAATCAACTATTTGAGAAGGAGTTTGGTTCTTAAGATTCAAAAAATAATTTGGGACATCGCTTCTTGAAAGTGATACATAACATTCTCGTGTTTTTGAATTTAAGGATCTGTTCATATTATTTTGCTTTCTACTTGTAGATGATTCTATCACATTCAAAGCAGATGCCTCATTTATAATAATATTTGAACTGCTGGATTCATGAGAATTTTCCATTTCAGAACATTCACTGTAATCTTTGGTACAGAGTACTGCATTAATAATAATATCATCCAATGGCAGTTCTTTATGAGAATTTGAAGATTTATTTAAGGGAATCAGCTGAGAAGGGGAAGCCATATTTTTTACATCAAATGTACTAAATGATTTTTCAGCTGAAACTTCATGGTCACATTTGATATTTGATTCATTCTCAGAAAAAGTTTGAGATCTTGATAGACTTTTGATTTCTGCTTTTTTACATCGATTATTCACATCATCATTTGCATTAGCTGCAGTTTTATAATTACTATCATCCGGTACTAAGTCATTTGTTTTACGAGATGAAATTAAATTAGAACTTTCTGGAATAAAGCTTTTGCAGCTACTTTGATTATAACTAAGCATTTGGGATGAAGTTTGTTTCCTAACAGAAGAAAAATATTTGGGAATATCACACCTAGAAAGTGACACATAGCACTCACACAATTTTGGACACAAAATGATATCACTTGTTACATCCTGTCTTTCACAAACTAATGGATTGACTGTATCTCCATCCAATGAATTACACTGATCAACAAATTTTGGTTTAGCATCAAATTCTAAATCTTCATGTGATTCAAAGACAAAACTTTTATGAGAAACACTAGTACAAGATTGAAATATGTCATCCTTTGCATATGATAAACACTGATCTTTTTCAATGACTAACAGTTGATCTTTGACTGATTTTGGAACAGAACTAAGCTGACTTGTTTGTGGATCTTCTCCTATTTCTTCTAAATTTCTACTTAAAATACTTTCATTATTGAACAATTTACTATTTTTAATTGGAGACGGAGGAAGTGGAGAGATGGGATTCAACACATTTAGCAAATTCTCAAATTTAGAAAACTCATCAGAAACATTACTTTCATTGTCTGATAAAGACTGTTCATCTTGAAGAAAAGATGTAGTTTTCTCAAAATCTGAATCTAATTCAAGATTGTTAGTTATTGAAAGGTTAAAATTATCAAAGGTTAAAATTTCATTCTCAAGATTAGTCCTTTGTATTGAAGTGTCAGAAATATGGCTTTCATTAGTAATCAGCTTTCCTAGTTCGTTTAGGG